TCCTCCTCCTCCTCCTCGTTCCTTCCTCCTCCTCCTCCTCCTCCTCCTCCTCGTTCCTTCCTTCCTCCTCCTCCTCCTCCTCCTCTTCGTTCCTTCCTCTTCCTCACTCCTCATCTCATCCTCCCCCCTTACCTCCTCCTCCTTTCCCTTCCGTGGTGGCCCTTTTGGCTCGAACCTCTCGGCCTCGAGCCCCAGGCCTCCCCTTGATCGCGGGGAGTCACGTCGCGGCCAGAGCTCCTGCTGGCCATTCTCGGCCCCTGCGGGGCCGGCAACGGGCCCCAAGACCGCCGAAAGACGAGACAAGCCACTTCTGCGACAGGCGCTCAGGCTGGACCTTCGCGCGAGGGGCACCCGCGGAGCGCGGCTCGGCACGCGGGGCCGAGCACCGTGGCCTGACCCGAGGGATTCCGATGCCGTGGACCGCAGCTCACCTCTGGGAAGGGGTCGGGGCCTCTGGGGGTCCATACGCTGTGTGATAAAGTCGCGGCGACACGTACGTTCGGAAAACCAGGGCGCCCCGGTTAGAATGGGCTAGAGGAGGCGGAGGAGGAGGAGGTGGAGGAGGAGGAGGAGGAGGAGGAGGAGGAGGAGGAGGAGGAGGCGGCGGTGCAGGAGGAGGAGGAGGAGGAGGAGGAGGAGGAGGAGGAGGAGGAGGAGGAGGAGGAGGACAATTACATCCACATGCTGTTCGTGAGCGACCAGTCTTTCGTGCTCGCCTGAGACGCGCCGATGCGCCCCAGGGCGTATGGCCCTCCTTTCCTTTCCCTTCCTTCTCCTTCTCCTGCCCTGCTCCCGCCACGGCCTTAATCCCAAGCAGGGGCCAGAACCCCCTGAGGGTACCTCCAGGGCGGCCGGAAGGCGTGTCCGCGGGCGGGCTCGCCATATCTTTGGCGGAGGTCCTCGCTCGCCGCCTGAGCTTGAAGCAGATATTCTCCTGTCCGAAGGAGAATAGGATTCCCTTCCGAGCCCGGACTTCACCGGACGCCCTGGGACTGCAAATGCAATATGATTCTGCCTCGTCGTTCATTTTATTCGATTTGCCTTCGTATCATCCCAGCCACACCGGCACCGCACCCCCCCATACCGATCAAATTCATACCATATACGGACATTTTCTTACATATCTCCACTGGTATTTTCCCAACAATCCCAGCATCGCTCCGCATCTCTAGCTCCCTCCTCATTCTCCTTCTCATCCTCCCGCCTCCGCTCTCATCGCCATCGTCATAGTTGTCGTCATCGTCATCTTCATCGTCATCGTCATCATCATCAGTATCTTCGTCGTCATCGTCTTCGTTCTCGTCGTCGTCATCGCCGCCGTCGTCGTCGTCGTCGTCGTTGTCGTCGTCATCATCATCATCACCGCCATCACCATCGCCATCACAGTCATCATCATCCTCATCATCAATCACCATCATCATCATCATCATCATCATCATCATCATCATCATCATCATCATCATCATCGGCACCGTCATCGTCATCATCATCATCAGCAACGCCAACATCAATATCAACACCTCCGTCACCATCATCATCATCATCATCATCATGATCATGATGATGATCATCATGATCATCATCATCATCATCATCACCATCATCATCATCATCATCATCATCATTATTGTTTTCATTTGCACCACCATCAACATGCGCATCACCATCACCATCACCATCACCATCACCATCACCAGCTTCATTATCACCATCACCATCATCACTATCAGCATCATCATCATCAGCATCATCGTCATCATCTTTATCACCGCCATCATCACCATTACCATCACCAACGTGACCATCATCACCACCATCACCATGACCGCCACCATCATCATCATCATCATCATCATCATCATCAGCACCATCGGCAGCAGCAGCACCATCACTTCCAACACCACCACCGTCGTCATCAACATCATCATCAGCATCATCATCAGCATCATCAACATCATCACCACCACCATCATCATCATCGTCGTCGTCGTCGTCATCATCGTCATCTTCATCTTCATCGCCATCGCCATCATAAGCATCCTCTTCTTCACCAACATCGTCATCATCATCATCATCATCATCATCATCATCATCATCATCATCATCATCATCATCATCATCATCATCGTCATCATCATCATCATCATCATCGTCGTCGTCATCATCATCATCATCATCGCCATTATCAACAGCAGCATTCCCATCATCACCCGCCACATCTGGCACCACCATCAGTACCAGTCACAGACCCTCCTCACAAGTTTCGTGGCTTTGTAGGCCCATATGGGGCTCCACCGAAGGCCCCAGTCCCAGGGTACGCATGCGGCCCTGCTCCCAGGGTGCGCATGCGGTCCTGCCTCTGATTTCGTTACACTCCTCATACGTTGTCGTGGCCCCAGAGGTAGCTCGACCGAAGGCACGAGTGGGAGTGCCTTCGTATCACAACCGCACCCATGTCGGCACACCACTCGCACTTTTCGTGAGTCATCGGGAGCTCCACCAAAGGCCCCAGCGGGAGGGCCCGCATGCCACCGCCGCACCGATTTCGGCACATGCTCCTGCGCCGTTTTTTGACGGTCCCGAGGCTCGGCGAGGGCCCTCCGAGGCCGAAAATTGTCGAAAACCGCCCGTCGTGATTCCCCAAACAGCTTGCTGAACGGGGTGCTGTTGTGATAGAAGCTAATTCCGGCCGAGGGAAAGCTAAGCAGAGACATCCTCAAACAAATGTGGTGGTCCGGCCCGTTTCGCCTGAGACATCCTCACAACTCTCGTTTCTGAGTTGTCCGGGATTGAGCGTTTCGCCTGAGACATCCTCCTAAATCTGAGCTCTGAGAGGCCGCGCGAGAGGTGGTCCGGGCCGTTTCGCTTGAGACATCCTCGAAACTCTGAGCTCCCAGATGCCGCGCGAGAGGTGGTCCGGGCCGTTTCGCCTGAGACATCCTCGCAACTCTGAGCTCCAAGATGCCGCGCGCGAGGTGGTCCGGCCCGTTTCGCCTGAGACATCCTCGAAACTCTGATCTCCCCGATGCCGCGCGCGAGGTGGTCCGGCCCGTTTCGCCTGAGACATCCTCGAACTTCTGAGCTCTGAGATGCCCTGCGCGAGGTGGTCCGGCCCGTCTCGCCTGAGAAATCCTTGCAACTCTGAGATCTGAGATGCCGTGCGCAAGGTGGTCCGGCCTGTTTCGCACAAGATATTCTCGCAACTCTGAGCTCTCAGATGCTGCGCAAGAGGTGGTCCAGCCTGGGGGCCCAGAAGGCCACATGTTACATATCCTCCATGGGACCCTGCGAGCCTCAGGAGGCCCCAGAGAGGTCCAGGAGGCCGCAGGACGCCCAGGACAGGCCCCAGGGGCCCCCAGGAGATTCCCAGGAGGCCCCAGGAGGCCCTCTATCAGAACGTGTCAAGTTAATACACATCCGGTGTCGATTCGTTGATTTTTCCTGCTCTTGTGCCCCCCCCTCCATTTGGAGAGGCCCAAGCGGCCACAGGTTAGATATCCCCCCTGGGAGCCCCAAGATGCTTCAGGAAACCTCAGGTGGAGTTCAGGAGGCCACAGGAGGCCCAGGAGGAAGCTCCAGGAGGTCCCCAGGAGGCCCAGGAGGCACCAGGAGGCCGCAGGACGCCCAGGACAGGCCCCAGGGGTCTCCAGGAGATTCCCAGGAGGCTCCCAGGAGGCCCCAGGAGGCCCTCTATCAGAACGTGTCAAGTTAATACACATCCGGTGTCGATTCGTTGATTTTTCCTGCTCTTGTGCCCCCCCCCCCTCCATTTGGAGAGGCCCAAACGGCCACAGGTTAGATATCCCCCCTGGGAGCCCCAAGAGGCTTCAGGAAACCCCAGGTGGAGTTCACGAGGCCACAGGAGGCCCAGGAGGAAGCTCCAGGAGGTCCCCAGGAGGCCCCAGGAGGCACCAGGAGGCCCCCGCAACTCGGAGCTCTGAGACGCCGCGCTCGAGGTGGTCCAGCCCGTTTCGCCTGAGACTTCCTCGCAGCACGTTTCGCCCGAGACATCGTCGCAACTCTGGGGTCCGAGATGCCGCGCGCGAGGTGGTCCAGCCCGTTACGCTGGAGACATCCTCGCAACTCTAGGCTCCGAAATGCCGTTCGCGATGAAGAGGAGGTGGAGGAGGAGGAGGAGGAGGAGGAGGAGGAGGAGGAGGAGGAGGAGGAGGAGGAGATGGAAGGGAGAAGGAGGAGGCGGATGATGTGCATGAGGGAGCAGGCAGGAGGAGGGGGAGGTCCCAGAGAGCTTCAGGAGGCCGCAGGACGCCCAGGACAGGCCCCAGGGGTCCGCAGGAGATTCCCAGGAGGCTCCCAGGAGGCCCCAGGAGGCCCTCTATCAGAACGTGTCAAGTTAATACACATCCGGTGTCGATTCGTTGATTTTTCCTGCTCCTGTGGCCCCCCCCTGTATTTGGAGAGGCCCAAACGGCCACAGGTTAGATATCCCCCCTGGGAGCCCCAAGATGCTTCAGGAAACCTCAGGTGGAGTTCAGGAGGCCACAGGAGGCCCGGGAGGAAGCCCCAGGAGGTCCCCAGGAGGCCCCAGGAGGCACCAGGAGGCCCCCGCAACTCGGAGCTCTGAGACGCCGCGCTCGAGGTGGTCCGGCCCGTTTCGCCTGAGACTTCCTCGCAGCACGTTTCGCCCGAGACATCGTCGCAACTCTGGGGTCCGAAATGCCGCGCGCGAGGTGGTCCAGCCCGTTACGCTGGAGACATCCTCGCAACTCTGGGTTCCGAGATGCCTTTCGGGATGAAGAGGAGGTGGACGAGGAGGAGGAGGAGGAGGAGGAGGAGGCATGTTTTAACATGCCATGCCAGCCCGCACTAGGCGGGCACGCAATCGACCTTGGAAACCGCGGTGGGTCTAAAAACCTTGTTTGGGGATACTGCACTCCGGCTATAATTTTTTTTTGCGACGCGATCATGTCTGAGAGGCGCAGCCCTCGAGGGCGCGGCCGGAGGGCCGCCGCCCCCCCCCTGCGCGGCGGCCGCGCCAGAGGACGCCCTGCCCGCGGTGGCCACGGCGGGCAGCCCCAGCGGCCTGGCGCGGGAGGCCTGCCCCCGCCCGCCCTCGGGGGGGGGGGGGGGCGCTCCCCCCGGAGGGAGGGGGTGCTCGAGGGAGGCTCGAGGGAGGGAGGCTCGGGGGAGGGGGGGGGGGGGGCTCGGGGGGAGGGGGGCTCGAGGGGGGCTCGGGGGGCGGGGGGCCCGAGGGAGGCTCGCAGGGAGGCTCGAGGATGGCTCGAGGGAGGCTCGATGGCGCAGGGGCACCCCTCCCAGAGGGAGGCCTGCGCTGGCCCGCCCGGGGGGCGGGCACCCCTCCCAGAGCCCTGAGATCCTGGCGTCTCCATTTTGTCGAGCCGGGCGTTTTTTCGTTTTTTTTTGGGGGGCCCTTCGGACCCTCACAGATCGATGCCGGTCGAGGAATAACGAAGGCTGTGGTCTGGGGCTCTGGCGGGGGGCACCCCCTTTCAGAGGGACGAGCGGAGAGCAGCGAGCAGCGCGATTCTGTTTTTGGCACCTGTGCGATGGCGCCGACGCTGCTGGTATTTGCCTGGGTGGTGGCCGGGGCTCGAAGGTAAGCGTCACCTGCTGCGCGCGCCCCCCTCGATCCTCGAGGCTCCTTCGAGCCTACCTCGAGCCGCCCTCGAGCCTCCCTCGAGCTCCAGGGGTGCCCCCCTCTGCGCGCGCAGACATGATCGTGTGGTAACAAATCAGTACGGGAGGTTTTTGGCCGTTTTCGGCCTCGGGGGGCTCTCGCCGGACCTCAGGACCGTGGGACGGGGGGCCTTCTCGAGCCTCCCTCGAGCCTCCCTCGAGCCCCCCCTTGGTCCTACGAGCCTCCCTCGAGCCTCCCTCGAGCCGCCCTCCAGCCTCCCCGAGCCCCCCCTCGATCTGCGAGCCTCCCTCGAGCCTCCCTCCGCCCTCCAGCCTCCCTCGAGCCACCCCTCGATCCTACGAGCCTCCCTCGAGCCTCCTCCCCAGACGTGCGACGTCCTGTTTTTTTCAATACGGGGTCTCTGGGGGTCCCTTCTCATCCTGGATCCTGGGGACCAGTTTTTCGTCCTGCGTCGTTTTTTGACGGTCCCGAGGTCCGGCGAGGGCCCCCCGAGGCCGACAACGGTCAAAAACCTCCCGTCCTGATATTTTTTGCCACGCGATCATATCTGGGTCGAGCCGCCCTCGAGTCTCCCCGAGCCCCCCCATCGATCCTGCGAGCCTCCCTCGAGCCCCCGTAGCCGCCCTCGAGCCTCCCTCGAGCCCCCCCCTCGATTCTGCGAGCCTCCCTCGAGACTCCCCTCCTCGAGCCCCCCTCGATCCTACGAGCCTCCCTCGAGCCTCCCTCGAGCCGCCCTCGAGCCTCCCCGAGCTTAGGAACGAGGGGGGTCCTCGGGGCGGCTCGCAGGGAGTCTCGAGGGAGGCCCGTAGGATCGAGGGAGGCTCGAGGGAGGCTCGAGGGAGACTCGAGGGAGGCTCGAGGAGGCCCCCCGCCCTGCTCTCCCCGGCGTTCTTCCCACCGGCCGCCGTCAGCGCCGCGCAGCTTCGCCCCCGGTCCTGGGCGGCGAAGCTGCGCGAGGGCGACGGCGAGGGTGAGGACGGTGGCGGCGGCGGCGGCGGCGATGGCGAGCCGACGGCGGCGGCGGCGGCGGCGGCGATGGAGAGCCGACGGCGGCGGCGGCGGCGGCGGCGGCGGCTTCCCAGACCCCTGAGCTGAGCTTCCCAGACGGCGGCGGCGGCGGACTGGAGTCGACGGCGGCAACGGGCTCTGTCCGGCGGGTGTTCATGGGGGGTGACTTCAATGGGGGGTGGTGAAAAGGGCCCCGGCGCGGTGGGGGACCTAGTGGGCGCGGTGCAGGAACTGCGATCGTGAAGCGCTGCCCGTGATTAGCTGTCATCTTCGTCCTCTGCCCCCTCCTTGTTGTCCCTCCCGGCCTTTCTCCCCGTCCAATCATTGCTTTAATGCCGTTGCTGCGGTGTCCAGGGTCACAACAACATGTCTCATACGCTATTAGGGCCAGCTTCACGAAGCTCTGTCCGCCACCGAAAAGAAATAAACAAGTACATAACTACATAAAGAAACAACTGAAGAACTGTCGAAATAAACAAGTAACGTACATCAAAACTAAGCCAACCCATACATGAATACACAAAGACAGAAGGAAGCAGCGAAATGAAGAAGACAGACAGAAAGAACAACGACGGACAATTTTTCATATTTCGTCCAACACCCCCCTGTAGGGGGACGCGCCCGACCTAACCCTACCATCCACCCGAATCTGGGATGGCGAAGAAGACGGCGCCGGCAACCGTGGCAACGCTGGCGGCGGCGGCCGACGGCGGCGGCGGCGGGCGGGCGGCGAGAGGGCGGCGGGCGCGCGGCGCCCCGCGGGAGGCCGTCTTCGTCGCGGAGGTGGACGGGGGCGAGCGCTGGCAGCTCACCCTGGGCGCGCCGTCCACCCGCCGGCTGGCCCAAGCGGGGGCAGGAGGAGCACCTCCTCCTCCTCCTCCTTCTCCTCCTCCTCCTCCACCACCTCCACCTCCTCGTCGTCCTCCGCCTCCTCCTCCTCGGGGATCGAGGCTGGCTCCTTGATCCTACTCCGCCTCTATGCTCTATGGAATCTCGAACCTTGCTCCTGCTGCTCCTCCTCCTCCTCCTCCTCCTCCTCCTCCTCCTCCTCCTCCTCCTCCGGAACTCGATCCTCGATCCTCGACCCTCCTCCTCGGACCTCGATCCTCCTCTTCCTCCTCCTTCTCCTCCTCTTCTCCTTCCTCCTCCTCCTCCTCCTCCTCCTCCTCCTCCTCCTCCTCCTCCTCCTCCTCCTCCTCCTCCTCCCCCTCCCCCTCCCCCTCTCTCTCTCCCTCCCCCCCACCCTCGGGGTCGTTTCTCGCCGTCTTCGGGCGCCCGGTCCCCAAGAGGCCACTGCATCGCAGCCCCTCCACCCCCCAAGGTGGGGACGGGCCCCGCCAGACCCGAGTCGGCGTCACTCCAGCATGCTCATGCTACCGGGCTCGTCAAACATGCATTTACGTTTTTTGTTTTCGGCGCCTGCGCGGTCGGCGCTGCTTCAATGCTGGCATGAGGTGCCTGGCCCACACGCAGGGGTGTCCGAAAGCTGGCAGTGCCCTCACAGCATCGAAGGTAGCGTTTCTAACAAGTGCCCGAATTATCAGGCGCTTCGATTTTGAAAGGAGTGTCAGTCTATTTTTGACGAGGCTTGTATGTGTGCGTCGCCCACCCAGGGGCGACGCGCGCGCTGAGAAATCTTGTAGTATGAGCTCCGTGGCGGGCGCTTTCTGGCCATGCCACTCGGGAACACATACATTATGAGATCGGTATACTATATGTTCGGGTCGGGCGCACGCTTCGAAGGAACAGGCGGGTCGGGTCGGGCGGGCGGACCCGAACGGTCGGGTCGGGTCGGGCGGGCGGACGTTGACGGGCGGGTCGGGTCGGGCGGGCGGACGTTGACGGGCGGGTCGGGTGGGGCGGGCGGGACATTCTAGTAGGACGCATCATCGAGTTAGCACGCGCGAGCCCTGACGGGCGGGCGGGTCGGGCGGGTGGGCCCTGACGCGCGGGTCGGGTCGGGCGGGCGGACCCTGACGGGCGGGTCGGGTCGGTTGGGCGGGACATCATAGTGGGACGCATCATCGAGTCAGCAAGCGCGAGCCCTGACGGGCGGGTCGGGTCGGGTGGGCGGACCCTAACGGGCGGGTCGGATCGAGCGGGCGGACTTTAACGGGCGCGTCGGGTCGGGCGGGCGGAGATGGGTGAATCGAGACTCGGGCGAATTGAGCATGGGCGAATCCAGCCAGGTGATTCGAGCCCTGGGCGAATCGAGCAGGGCGAATCGAGCCCCGAGCGAATCGAGCCCCGAGCGAATCGAGCTCCGGGCGAATCGAGCTCTGGGCGAATCGAGCTGGGCGAATCGAGCCCGGGCGAATTGAGACCCGGGCGAATCGAGACTCGGGGCGAATCGAGCCGGGCGATTCGAGCTTGGGCGAATCGAGCCCGGCGAATTGAGATTCGGCGAGTCGGGCGCGGCGAATGGAGCCCTGCGAATTGAGAGACTCGGCGAATCGAGCCCGGCGAGTCGAGCTGGGCGAATCGAGACTCAGCGAATCGAGACTCGGGCGAATCAAGGCTCGGGCGAATCGAGACCGGCGCATCGAGCCGGGCGATTCGAGACTCGTCGGTATCGTTGGTCCAATCCCCATCCCCATCCCCCGTCCCGATCCCCTTCGAGATCCCCACCAAAGTACCACCCCAGGTGGGGACACGCCCCTCGCAACCCGAAGGGAACGACCTATATCCCCACCTGGGGGGGTAAATCGGCCAGTGGGGCCCAGGCCACGCCGCTGGGGATGGGGATCGGCTAAACGATACTCAAGACTTGGGCGAATCAAGCCTGCGCCGACGGGGCGACCCCGGGAGCGAGCGCGTCTACCCCGCGCCGATCCGACGCGCTCCAGGGGCGGCGCGAAGGCTGCCTTGAGATCCGACGTAGCGAAGCACTTGCAGCCTCGCAGCAAGTCACGCCCAGAGCCCTGGACCCCATTTTTCTGGGTTGTTCTTCGAGCCGGATCGATCTGTGAGGGTCCCAGGGCGCGAAGCCCAGACCCCCGACGTCGTGATTTTTTTTCGCAACCTCGACTCTCGGAGGTCTGGATCCCTTCCCCGGGACCGGTTTTTCATCCCGTGTCGTTTCTTGCCGCTCCCGAGGGCCGGTAGGGGCCCCCGGAGGCCGAAAGCAGCGACAGACGTCCCGCCGCGATTTTGTCACAGCGCGAGGGGGTCTGGGAAGGAGGCGAACGCGCCCGGCTCGAAGACATGGAGGCGCCAGGATCTCCGGGTGCTGCGGCGTGGCAACACCGTGGGAGCCGGCCACGGGCGGGCGGGCGCCTCCGGAGGAGCGAGCGGGGGCTTCCGTTGGCACGGGCCGGGGCGGAGGTGGCCCTCGGAGGGGTGCGCTCTGCTTCGGCATTCCTTCACGGGGGCAAGGCAGGGCGGCTGCGGATGGCGCTGCGGAGGGCGCCCACGCCCCTGAGATCCTGGCGTCTCAATCTCTTCGAGGAGCCGGGCGTTTTCGCCTTTCTTCGGGCTCCGGGACCCTCACGGTGCGATCCTGCTCGGACAATGACGCAGAAAGAGTGGGTCCGGGGCTCTGGGCGTGACTCCAAGACATGCGACGCAGGGCGACTTCGGATAGCTCTGCAGAGGGCACCCACACCACCACCACCTGGCCCGGCCAGGGCCCTTCTGGACTCCCCTGAGATCTGGCGTCGCGAAAAAATTGCAGCATCCCAGAAAATCGCAACCGAAGCCCCGGACCCATCTTTCTGCGCCATTTTCCGAGCTGGATCGATCTGTGAATCTCCTGGGGCCCGAAATTGACCGAAAACGCCGGTGGCCAAAACATTGCAGCCCCAGACATGATCGCGCGTGAAAAAATCACGACCTCGGGTTTTCGGCCGTTGTCGGCCTCGCGGGGCCCTCACTTGGCCTCGGGACCTCCAAAAGTCGACTCAGGACGAAGCACCGGTCCCGGGGACAGGGTCGGGACTTCCAGGGACCCCGTGTTGCAAAAATCAGGACGTCGCGTGTCTGGGACGCCAGGATCTCTGGGTCTGGCAGGGTGTGCGCGCCCTCCTGGCCGAGGCCCGGAGGCCCTGCACACGAGCCCAGGCCCCCGGAGGGCCCTGGCCGGGCCTCGGCTGCGCGCAGGAGTGGCCCTTCGCCGGGAGCGGCTTGTGGTGCGGGCCCACAGGGGTCACCCCCTGCCATGGCTGGTGCGATTGGCTTTGCCTCTCCCCTCCCCCCCGGCCTCCCCCCTTCCCCCCTCCCCCTCCCTCCGCTGCCCCCCCCCTTCCCCCCTTCCTCCCCCTCCCCCCCGGCCTCCCCCCCTTCCCCCTCCCTCCGCTGCCCCCTCCCCTCCTTCCCTCCCCCGCGCCGCCCCGCCCTCCTTCCCTCCCCCCGCCGCCCCTGCCGTGGCAATTTTGGCTCTCGTGCGCCGCGGCCGCGGCGGCTGGCCGGCCGCGACCGCCCGGCATGGCGCAGCCCGGCACCCCGGCGCTCGCGGCCTGGGCGACGGGCGAGGCGGCCGCGGCGGCGGCCGCTGAGGCGCGCGGCTGGGAGGCGGCCGACGTCCCCGGAGAGGGTGGGCGACGCCGCGAGGCAGCAGCGTCCTTCTTGCGGGGCGTCCGGGCGCTCCAGGCGGCCCGGCCAATTTTCCCCACAGGCCCGCCAGGAGGCCCGGTTGCGCGCGCGTTGGTGCAGGGCGGCTTGGGGACGTGGCGAACGTTCGACACGGCGCTGGCGACGACCCTTCAGAACTGGCGCGCGCGGCTGGAGCTGGGCGGGCATGGGGCACTCTCGGGGCGCGTTCATGGAGCTTGGGAGGGCGCTCTACCGGTGCAGGAGTGCGTGGCCGCGCCCCGGGCGGCGCGCGCCGCGCCGAGAGTACTGGCGGCGCTCAACGTGCAGGGGGGCTTTGGCGCGCGCGGGGGCGTGGGCACCCAGGAGGCCCGGATCGTTTCGGTGCTCGAGCGGCTTCGAGCAGCGCAGGTAGCGGCGGCGGCCATCGCGGAGCCCCGACTCGGGCCTGGCGCGCGTTGGCCAGACGCGGGTTGCGCCTTCTATGGCGAGCGGTCCTCGTCCCCGGGCACAGTTGCCGTGCTGGTCCACGAGTCGCTCGGCGAAACGACCGCCCCCGTGGCCGATGTGGGCGACGAGCGGGCGCTCTGGCTGCCGCTCCCGGGGGCTAAGGGCGGCGGCGTCCTCGTCCTCGCGGCCTATGGGCCGCCGCCTGCGCACGGAGCCCTGGCCCGACGACAATTCTGGGACGCGCGGTTGATGGAGTGGCGGAGGCTGGCCCTCCAGCCCCAATTCCGAGGGTGGTCCCTGGCGATCCTGGGTGACGCCAACCTGCACTTCGCAGATTTGGCCCCAGCGAACGAGCGCTACGAGGGGCCCTTGGAGCGACACGTCCGGGAGCTCTTGCGGGCCACGGAAGGGTTCGACGCCGTGGTCCGCAACCCGCGGGCCACGCCCACGCACGCATCGGGCACGGCCATCGACTGGGTCGCAACGTCGCAGGACCTGCAAGCGGCGGTGGAGGTCATCCCGCCGGGCGCGCCTGGTGTCCCCGCGGACCGCGCCCTCCTGCTCGCCCGCTTGCCCGGGCAGATGCGGGTGGACGAGGCGCCGAACATTGGCCGAGCGCGGTGGCGCGGGGACGCGGACTGGGCGGGCGCGTTGGCCGGCGCCGCGGCGTCGCTGGCCTTCATCGCCGGCTGGGCTGCGGTCGCTTCCCGGGACCCGACCATCCGCGCCTGGCTCGCGGCGGGGCAGTGGCGCGGCGCGCGGCAGGCAGTGCTGGACCATGCAGTGTGGTGGCGGGCCGTGGTTGTCGCCATCCGGGGGCATTTGAGCGGGCTCGTGGCGGTCCGATGGCCGAGGCGCCCGACCAGGGCAGGCCTCGCCAGGCCCCCGCGGGCCGGCCCCGCCCGCCCCGGCGGAGGAAGGTCCGGGCGGCGCCGCTGCCGCGACCCTCGGAGCGCTCGCGGACGCGCGGGCCAGGCAGATGCGCCGATATTTGCGTCTGGCGGCGGCGGCGCCCGGCGAGGCCGAGGCTTTCCTCAGTGCGTTGCTCCGCCCGCGCGCGCCATTGACCCTCGCCTTAGTCGACGAGGATTCGGGCGCCCGGCTCGGCCCCGCGGAGACCTTGGCGGCCGTCTCGCGCAACGTGCTGGAACGAGGGCGGGCCGCTGGACCAGGGGTCCCAGCCCTCAACGACGACGTGGCCCGTGCTGTGAGAGAGGCGCGGCGCGCCTCGCTCGGGGAGACCGCCGAGGAGAGCGGGGATGCCTTCGAGCCGGCGCTGGTGGACAGGGTGGTGCGGCACGCACGTCTCCGAAAGGCTTCGATGCGCTTCCCGCGCGGGGTGGCCCGAGCAGTCGCTGGGCCGGCGGGTCTGGTCACGTGGGCGATCCTGAACCTGGCCATGGCCACGGGCCTCACCGCCTCGCTGTGGGCGCGCGAGGTGGCCCCGATCCGCAAGCGCGGCCCCCCGGTCGTCAGGGCCCCGGGGAATCTCCGACCCGTCTCCTACGTAGATGACCTCGAGGGCTTCTTCGACGCCGCGTGGCTGGAGGTGACCCGCGGCCACCTGGAGGCCTTCGCCGGCGCCCCCCAAGCGGGCGGGCGTTTCGACGCCGTGCTGATGACGGGGGGGCTGCTAATGCTGCTGCAGCTCCGGCGTGCGGCCGGCCTCAGGACGGTCCTGGCCAAGGCAGACCTGCTGCACGGGTTCGACCTCGCCTGGCGGGACGCCGTGCGCCTCGGCCTTTGGCTCGCGGGGGTTCGGGGCGGTGGTGGGTCGCGGCGGACTCTTCGCTGGGGCCCGAGCGGGTGCGTGTCCGCCTGGGCGCCCTGGCGGCAGCGGCGTTCCAGGTGGCTGATTTCGGCGTCGGCCAGGGGCGCAGGGCTGGTGTCCACCTTTTCGGGGTCCTGGTACGGGGGCTCATCGACGCGGGCGTGGGGGCTGGCCCCGGTGTGGCGCTCGGGCCGCCCGCGTCAGAGGCCGGCGCGCTGTCCTTCTCCATGCTCCAATTCGTCGACGACTCCTTCATCGCCGGAGAGACGGACCCCGAGGTGGCGGCGGTGGCGGAGGCGCTCTCCGCCTGGTGCACGCGCTGGCGCCACCGGTTCCAGGGCGGGGCGAGCAAGGGGCCCGCGGTGATGGCGGTGGCCGGGGCTGACCCCGACGCCGCCGCGTGCGGCGCCATCGCGGGGGAGGCGTTCCGGGCCGTGGCCTCGCTGGATGTTCTCGGCACGCCCGTCGACAACGCGCTCAGCCTTCGCCCCCTCTTGGACCGGACGTGCGCCAAGCTTTTGGCGGGTGCCCGCCGGTTGATTGCGGCCATGGCGGACAGCGGATTCGGCGTCCCGCTTCAGCTCACGCAAGTCCCGGCCAGGGTCGAATCGGCGGCCCTGTTCGGGGCCGAGCTCCTCGCATCCTGCGAGGTTGGCTGGCCCGCGGTCCCCACCAGGGTCAACCGCGCCTACTACGAGGTGGCCGAGATGTTGCTGGCGGGGGCCACGCGGCCGTGGTCGCTGGGCCCGGGCGGGCACGTCCGCGCCTTTCTGGAGGCGAGACTCCTCGCCCGGCTTGGCACCAAATTGACCAAGCGGGTCATCACGGCCAGGGCCCAGATGCTCCTCCTCCCCCACCCGTCGCCCATCTCGGAGGTGCTCCAGGCGGCGGTGGCGTCCCCGGGGGTGCGCACCTGGCCGAGCGACGCGGAGGAGGTAGCGCGGGGCGTGGGGATCGCCGAGTGGCCGGCCCCGGAGCCGGGGGCCTCCCCTGCGCGACGGCGGGCGCTGGTGCGCTCATGGACGGCGCGGGTGGTGGGCCCACTCATGGAGGCGGCGGAGGCGCGCTGGTTCGCGGAGCAAGTCGGCCGGCTGGCGGACACAGGGCTGCTGCCGCTGGTCGCGCTCCTCCCGCTCCACCAGCCGTGGGCTCCATAGGTCCGCTTCGCGCCGTGGTCCCAGGCCATGTGGAAGTACCGCAGGGCGTGGATGGTGGCGCGCGCGTCGGGGGCCATCCCGGGGGTCGTCTGGGGCGTGGAACTCCAGCCTGTCCCGGGCGAGGCGTGCGCCCTCTGCGGCGGCGAGGCAGCTGGCCTCCACCACCTGCTCGCGGATTGCCCGGTCGTCGACGCATTCCGACGCGTGATGCGGGCGCGCGTGGGCGACGCCGCCCTGGCTTGCGGCGTCCCCGAGTGGGCCCTCTCCGACACCGCGCACCTCGCCGAGCTCGCGCTGAAGGTGGAGTTCGTGGGGGGGGTGGCGGGCGCCCACGTGCGCGCGCGCAGGGCGTAGAAAAGCCGCCCCCCCCTACGCCATCGCCTCCGCCCTCGGTCGCCGTCGCCGCCGTCGTCGCCCGCGGCGCGTGGGCCCGCGGGCGCTGGATTCTGGGCCGGCGGCGCCGCGACCCAGAATCGGCTCCCGGGCGGTTGGGCGCGCGGGGGCGTTTCTGGGCCGACGGCGCAGCGGCCCAGAATCAGCCCGAGGGAGCCTGGAAGCTGTGGGGCCGCGCGTTGGGTCAGCGGGGCGGCGCCCGGCCAGGCTGGCCGGCCCCGCCCGCCGCCGCCGCCCCCCCCTTGTCGCCGCCAGCCCAATCGCAGTCGCCGCCATCGTCGCCCGCGGCGCGCGGGCCCGCGGGCGCTGGATTCTGGGCCGGCGGCGCCGCGACCCAGAATCGGGCCCCGGGCGGCTGGGCGCGCGGGGGCGGATTCTGGGTCGTCGGCGCGGGGGCCCAGAATCAGCCCCAGGGCGCCTGGCTGCCGGGGGGCCGCGCGGTGGGCCGGCGGGGCGGCGCCCGGCGGCGCCGCGACCCAGAATCGGCCCCCGGGCGGTTGGGCGCGCGGGTCAATTCTGGGTCGACGGCGCGGCGGCCCAAAATCAGCCCCAGGGGGCCTGGATGCTGTGGGGCCGCGCGTTGGGTCGGCGGGGCGGCGCCCGGCCCGGCCAGCCGGCCCGCCCGCCGCCGCCGCCCCCCCCTTGTCGCCGCCAGCCCAGTCGCAGTCGCCGCCGTCGTCGCCCGCGGCGCGTAGACCCGCGGGCGCTGGATTCTGGGCCGGCGGCGCCGCGACCCAGAATCGGCCACCGGGCGGCTGGGCGCGCGGGGGCGGATTCTGGGTCGACGGCGCGGCGACCCAGAATCAGCACCAGGGTGCTTGGACGAGGCCCGACCGCGGGCGGTGCGCCGCCCCGCCCTCCCCCCCTCCCCCCGCCGTGCCTGCTCCGCCCCCCCCCCCCCCACTCTGCGCCCCCCGCCTCCTCAGGGAACGCTGTCGCGCCTGCCCCGGCCTGCCCGGGCAGGGCGCTTCAACGTCAGCAGCGCGTCCCCGCCGAGCCGTCCCCGCCGGGCGTAGAAACGCCCCCCCCGTGATTCTGGGTCGCCAGCGCCGCGACCCAGAATCGGCCCCGGGGGGCCGGGGCGCGCGGGGGCGGATTCTGGGTCGACGGCGCGGCGGCCCAGAATCGCCAGCCGAGCCGGGGCCGCTGCTGGACCGCGCCCCCGTCTCTCCCGCCCCTGCCCCTGCCCGCTCCGCCTTCTCACCCTCCCCCTCCGTTCCTTTCCCCCCTCTTCAGAGGGCGCTGTCGCGCCTGCCCCGGCCTGCCCGGGCAGGGCGCTTCAACGCTGCCCGACGCCCTAGCGATGCGGCCCCATAGGCCTGTCGGGCACGGAGGAGCTTCGCGGGGCGGTCCCCTCAACCATCCCACGAGGGTTGGTTGGCCCACGACATTCCTGATGTCCAAATTCTGATGTCCTCCCCCTGGCCTCCCCCCTTTCCCCCTCCCCCCTCCCTCCGCTGCCCCTCCCCTTCCCCCCTTCCCCCCCCCCCCCCCGCCTCACCCCCTCCCCCTCCCTCCGCTGCCCCCTCCCCCCCCTCCCCCCCTCCCCCCTCCCCCTTTGCCCCCTCCCCCCCCCTCGCCCCGCCCCCCTCCCTCCTCCCCCCCCCCTCTCCCGCCCGCCCCCCTCCCCCCTCCCTCCGTCCGCCAAGCTGCGCACCAGAAGGCCTCTCTAGGCCTCCTAGATGGGTCGGAGGATAGCGCCGCGTCGCCGATGCATCGACGCTGCGGCGCGATGTGGAGCCCGATTTTCTCCACACCAGCAATGCCTCGCCGATGCGTCGGCGATGCATCGGCGATGCGGCGCGATCCTCCGACCCTATCTACTCGGACCCCATTTGGGAGGCTTCTATCTTCACCGCCCACTAGACCACCCCAACCCAACCCGAAGGCCCCAATTTGTCCTCCAATCCCGGTGGGGTGGGTGGGCGTGGGGGAACATGGAACAAACACACACACACAAGGAACCCGTACCCCGCCACCCAACCCGGAACTTGGGTCTTTGGGTTGGGTTGGGGTGGTCTTGTGGGTAGCCACATCTGCCCGATGGAGAGGCCAGCCCCATCCAAGGCGCTCGGCGTTCGGCGCTCCTCTCCCCGAGCGCGTGCGGCGCGCGCCCGCGGCAAGGCGACGCGCTGCTGGCGGCCGAGCGCGCGGCCCGCACCGCCGGCGGAGCCCACAGGCTTCCCGCGGCAGCCCCGCCCGGGTGCTCGGCGCTGCTGGGACACTCCGCGCGTGCACGCGCGCAGCGCGCGCGCCGCGCGCGGCGGGCGCGGCGCGCGTGCGAAAGTGTAGGGGACAAAGACTCTGTTGCCGCGGCTCGAGGGCCCACGAGGTCTGGTCTGGCACGATGGAGGGTGGCCACGAGTGGGGAGCTGCGAGATCCCAGGCCTGTCTTTGGTCGCCATGTCGGTTCCGCGGCGCGCGCGGACGCGTGGGCTGGCTCTCAAAGATAGTGCAAGGAGCGCACGGGTGTTACAACATCGGCGCGGGCGCGCAAGCGCGTGCGCGTACGCCCGCGCACGCGTGCGCGCGCGCGCCCAGACGGCCCGCGCCGTCGTCTCTAGCGCTATCGCCCGTCGTCTGGTTGTCGAAGGGTTAACGTTTACGAGATAATCGTTGTTGCCGCCCCCCGTGCAGCGTATGCCTCTTGTTCTACCAGGTTCATTTCCCCCGAGGCCACCAAGCCTGGTACACTTATGGGAACGAGCAATGACGTAAACATCACAACTCGGAGGTCCGCGCGGATTCCTCGGATCGGCGCTAGACCCCCCTCCCTGGCGCGTGGAGCGCGCCAGAAGCGACGCCGGAGGCGCCGCCAAGAGACCCCTGCGCCGATACGAGGAATCCGCGTGGACCTCAGAGTTTTCATGTTCACGTCGTTGCTTGTTCCCCCAGGTGTTGCTGCGTGGAGTGGGCGACCGCCAGGAGCGGCGCCTGTGGCGGAGCCTGCGACTACAGCGCTCAGAAAGTTCGGAGGTGGATAGACCTCCTACCCTGACACGTCGGTTAAGGAATTGGCCGTTTTCGGTTCGCCAGAGGGCGTCGCGGCCTTCACTTTTGCGGGTCCAGGTCCGTCGGTTTCGGTCCCATGCCGTTTTCATTAAGGGGAGGTTTACTAAAGGGAGGTTTGTCCACCGCCGAAAAGTCTCGTGTCTTCGCGCGTGGGATGCCCCGGCAGCGACGTCGCCCCAGCGCGGGCCGCGATTCTGGGGGGGGGGCGATCGGCTCCTCGTGGTTGGAGAGGACTGAGGAGGCGAGACCAAACACTGATGCGCGCGGGTTGGCGACGGGTCCCGCCTCCGTGCGAAAACGACGCGCGCCGCCGCCAAATGAGGCGCCACTGGTCTCATTTTTTGCTGTGCGCGTGGGCGCCAGATCTGCGGATCCGTAGTTCATGTCAGGGTGTTCCCGAGAGGAGGCGAAGAGGGAGACGCGCAGACGGGCTGGGCGGAAGCTAGGATGTGGGGAGGTCAGAACGCACCGCCCTCGACGGCGTGGTCGTCGCCAGTGCTGCGGTCATGACCCTCGCCGTCTTCATGAGGGTCGCCGTCGTCGTCTCCAGTTGTGTGTCGCAGTCGTCCGCCGCCCGTCGTCCCTTCGCCGTCGGCACTTGCGGTCGCCCGCCGCCGTCGCTCTCCGCTCATCTTCGGCGGTCGTCGTCGTTGCGGTGGGGGCCGCCTCGGCGGCGGCGGTAGTGGGTGGTCGTCGTCGGCGCCGACGCTCTCGCGGGCGGCCCCTGCGGGGCGCTCTCCAGGATTCCCCTGACGCTTGTCTTAAGTCGGGCCTGTCCCTCCAGAGGAGGAATCTGCAAAAATAGTAAAATTATCCCGGCAAAGCAACCTAACAGCGATGTGTAGAAGCATATCTGAAAGCATTCCCCTTAAGATTCAGATGAAAATCCAGTTGTAGAATTCTGCTGTTCTCGCAGTCGTAGTCGCATTCGCGATGACAGTCGCAGCGGCAACGGCAGTCGCAGTCACAGCCTCAGCCTCAGCCTGCCTCAGCCTCAGCCTCAGCCTGCCTCAGCCTCAGCCTGCCTCAGCCTCAGCCTCAGCCTGCTTCAGCCTCAGCCTCAGTCTGCCTTCAGCCTCGGCCTCAGCCTCAGCCTGCCTCAGCCTCAGCCTGCATCAGCCTCAGCCTCAGCCTCAGCCTGCCTCAGCATCAGCCTGCTTCAGCCTCAGCCTCAGCCTGCCTCAGCCTCAGCCTCAGTCTGCTTCAGCCTCAGCCTCAGTCTGCCTTCAGCCTCGGCCTCAGCCTCAGCCTGCCTCAGCCTCAGCCTGCCTCGGCCGCAGCATCAGCCTGCCTCAGCATTCAAAATGTGGCCCAGGAATGGAGTTCTGGGAACTAGAAGAACACGAAGTGGCCTACAGTTGGCTCCGGGCATTCAAAATCATGCCCAGGAATGGAGTTCTGGGAACTTGAAGAGCACGAAGTGGCCTACAGTTGGCTCCGGGCATCCAAAATGTGGCCCGGGAATGGAGTTCTGGGAATCGAAGAGCACGAAGTGGCCTACAGTTGGCTCCGGGCATCCAAAATGTGGCCCGGGAATGGAGTTCTGGGAAGTCGAAGAGCACGAAGTGGCCTACAGTTGGCTCCGGGCATCCAAAATGTGGCCCGGGAATGGAGTTCTGGGAGCACCAAGAGCGATTTTGCGAGGATGTCCCAAGCGATTTCGGCTTCGACGGCAGCCTCCCCGGGTCCCGCCCAGACCCCCCTGAGGAGTCATGATGTTCTCTTTTGAGACCACTAGAAACCTATCAGCAAGAGCTGTTAGGTAAAAATAACCTGGGGACGATTTCTTGATTTTTTAGAGGCATTTCTGAGCATTCTTGGGGTCTGATTTTTATTTTTCGTCCCGAATCCGCCTGTAGGGGGGCACGCCCGACCCAACGCTCGTCTCGTTGTATCGTACGGTGCGTGGCTGCATCGTTCCACGTCGTGTCGCGTCGTAGCCTGCCGCCAGCGTCGAAGTCGCAGTCGTGGTCGCTTGCGCATGGCTCGCCCGTGTCACCCCGTCGTGACAGTTCGCCTCGGCTTCGTGGGGGCGACTTGTGTCCATGCCCCACTGCAGCTTGGAGTTTCGGGGTGCCTTCTCCAGAAGCCCGAGGCGCACTGGAAATGGGTGACCATCTGTCCCCTAGAGGCTCATCGGTTTTATCCATATCTAGGGCGCCTCGGCCTTGCGGCGCCCCTTCCGAGAAAGTCCAAGACGCACTGGCAGTTATTGCCCGCAAGTTTAGCTCTCGGCAGATCGCAGAGGGAGGGACAGAGGTGGGAGAGCGGAGGGGCGAGTGGGGCAGCCACACTATGCGGGCTTAGTCGAAGCAGATTATTAAGTTTTTTTGTTAGACAAGGGAAAAAATCTGCATAAACATAAACTTTCGACGGTCCGCGCGGATTTCTTGGGATCGGCGCTGGACCTTCCAAGAAATCCGCGCGGACCCCCGACATTTAATGCTTATGCTGTTTTTGTCCAATGTTGCGAGTCTCTCGATTCTGCGTCCACTTATGCTTTTGTGCACATTCCTGGGCGTCATGTCGCACACCTATGTGCTCCTATGTGCTCGTGAGTGCCTTCACCACTGCGTCTCATTACGTTTTCCTAGAATTCGGCTACGTGCTCGTATGTGTTCCTCAGCTCAGTTGATAGTCGGAACTGGTAGCTATGAAACACCAGCGAGTTATATTTCGGCGAGTGCTATGAAACACCAGCGAGTTACTGTTCGGCGAGTGCGTCGGACAGGGGAAGCAGGTTGGACGCTGCGAGGGCGATTAGCTGGCAGCGCGGCGGGGGCGCTGTTTCGTGAGGAGCGCTCTTGACGAGCTGGACTCTGGTGTTCTCCCTGGCGCTGTGAGGCGGCCAGAATGACGTGCGACAACTCCGCCATGGATCGACTCGAGCCGCTGGATTATTTGTCCAGTGGCTTCTCGTCGAGTGATCGCGCTGCAAGCACACGTCGACCTGGTCGTCTCGAAAAGTGCCGTCGTTTCCTTGCGTGTGCTCGATCCGTGGAGCGTGGGCCGTCTGGTGGGCTCGGGTGTTGCCAGAAGTATCCCTGGCCCCAGGCGTGCCCAGCTTTTGCGCCATCTTGGAGCCCCGCAGACACCCCCGCAGACACCTCGGCACTTCTGGCACCGCCCGCACGATGCTGTGAAGACGCCGCAGCATCGCGAAACATCACGACCGGAGCCCCAGACCCCATCTCTCTGCCGCACATTTCGAGCCGGATGGATCTGTGCGAGTCTCGGGGCTCGAACTTGGGCGAAGACGCCCAGCCTGAAAAACATCGAAACGCCCGGATCTCGGGGGATGGGCGGCCGCGGCCAGCCGCCCGCACCGCGCCACTCCGCCCCGCAGGGGCGAGCAGCCGCGGGTGCCCGGGCGCCGGGCCTTGCTGGAGGCCCCAGCCCTCCCCCCCGCGCCGCCCGGACAGCTCCCTCTCGTGGAGCGGCTGGGGCGCGGGCCGGGCGCGTCCGGCGGCTCGCCAGCTGGGCGCTCCCAGGGGAGCGTCCTGCTGGAGCGACGATGGCGGCGGCGGCGGCGGCGGCGAAGCGGCGACAGCGACGACTGCGACGCCAGCGGCAGCCACGGTGGCGGCGGCAGGCGGCGGCGAAGGCGGCGGCTGGCGCCTGCCGGGTGGAGTGTGCTGCCTGGCCCCGCGCGCGCCCAGGGGGCGCCGGCCCCCTTGGCGCGCACGGCCCCTCCGCTGGGGCGAGGCGTCTTGGCCCCGCTGCGCCTGGCCGTGCCCCGCTGCAGTGGGAGGGCGCCACGGGCCATGCCTGGCGTCAGTGCGAGGCACGCGGGGGCAGCGGCCCTCCGCGCTGCGCCGGCGGGGGGTGGTTCTGCAGGCGTCTCCTCGTGGTGCTCCCCTATGGTGTATGGGGTATTTCGAGAAGCGCCGCGCTCTCGCCGAGGGGGGCAGGGGGCGAAGCGGCGCAGTCAGCAGCCCTGCATCAGTCAGGGGGGGCGTTCCTGCAGGGCCGAATCGCCTTGTCCGCAGTGTGCAGCTGGCGGGGCGCTGCGTCGCCTCCCTTCTGTTCCCTTCGCCCCCTGTCCCCAGTGCCACCCCGCCTGCTCCCACTCGCGCGCTTCTGCTTCGTCCTCGCACCGCTCCAGCCACTGCGTATGCCGACGTTGCTGATGCTGCTGCTGGTGACGCTGCTGATGCTGCTGATGCTGCAGTTGTTGCCGCTGCCGCTGCTGCTGTTGTTGGTGCCGCGTCTTGTCCTCCTCGCCATCATTGCTGTCTTTGACTTTCACTGGCAGGGGTTGCTTTAAGCGGGCAACGCGCTGCTTTCGAGCACAAATGATCAAATCCAGAGTTGTGTTGTACAGCGCTAGGCACTGAGACGGAGACGGTGTTGGCACTGACAGCAGCGGTGGCGGCATCGGCGCCAACGTAGATGTCGGCGGCGGCGTCGGGGCGAATTGTAGCCAGCGCTGTCGGCGACTTCAGTAGCGGCGTTATATGAGGGTGGGAGTGGGGGCAGTAGTTGTGGAGTATTGGGTATCCTAATGTGTTCTGGGAGCGGGCGAGCAACATGTGTTAACGTGTGTTTCGCTCCAGGTAGGCTGTTCCCTTCAGCCTCCACTGTTGCTCGTGCCCTTTCCCCTGAGCTCGCATCAGCGACTGTCAGATGCTACACGACAGGCTCTGTATGGGTGGTATTCTCTCCTTTTGACCGCTGACCGGCCAGGTGTTTGCTGGATCCTGTCGATTGTCACTGGCGTGCTACCGGCCCGTTTGAAGCTGTTTCGCTTGTTTGTGTCTCAATTGCCTTTCTGTTTTCCGTTGTCTGTCATTGGCAGGTTGGCATATTCGTATCTGGTCGTACGTTGTTCTTTCAAGCCGTATCAGGTTCGATCACGGGAGCCAGCCGAGCAGCTGATACATGCTCGTTGAGGTCGTCCAGAGGCAGAGCGGAAAACCACTTTCATAAACCGAATGCGATTTGTGGAAGGTGAAGCTGTGTGTGTGTGTGTGATTGAGTGTATGCTGGAGTGACTGTGGCACAGACGCGGCCACGCGGTGGTGCAGGAGATTGTGGACGGCGCCACATTCTTTCTGATAGCCTTTATGCTGCCCCTAATTGTGACCACTTTTGATCGGAGGGCACACTGTTTAGCCAGTGCGACTTGAGCTTTGGCTTCAAATTTTGGGGCTGCAGAAGGGCTCCGCCAGGTGTGTGGCTGAAAGATATGTTCACGTACTACGACGTTCGGCACCGCTCCGTACCTTCGGTCGATACGTTCTGGACGACGGTGTGGGTGTCTCGTTTTTCAGTGTTTGGGGGCTGAAGAGGGCCTACCCTCGCACGCCGTCTTTCCCAAAATGCACGCCGATCCTCCAGCGTAACGGAGTCAGCCGTCCATCTCCGCCGCGGCTCCTCGGGCAGGGTGCCGGCCCCCCCCCTGGTCCCGTTTCTCGCTGCTGTCCTTCGGTGCGTGTCTGCGTGCGTGCTGCGGAGCCGTGGGATTCTGGCCAGCAGCGCAGGGGGCAGCGAGCACACCGTGCCTGGAGGCAGGCGGCGCCCCTGGGCCTCTTCGAGCGGGATGCGCGCTGGCTCGTTGGTCCACTCACCAGGAGGAGGAGGAGGAGGAGGAGGAGGAGGAGGAGGAGGAGGAGGAGAGGAGGAGGAGGAGGAGGAGGAGGAGGAGGAGGGAGGAGGGAGGAGGAGGAGGAGGAGGGAGGAGAGGAGGAGGAGAGGAGGGAGGAGGAGGAGGAGGAGGAGGAGGAGGAGGAGGGAGGAGGAGGAGGAGGAGGAGGAGGAGGAGGAGGAGGAGGAGGAGGAGCGAGGCAGGCCAGAAGGGAGGGGAGCAGCCACGAGGAAGGTTGGTCGCGCCGTGGCCACGCCGCTGCAGCCTATCCCCTCGTTCTCGTCCCGCTCTGCGCTCAGCGAGCGCAGAGCGGACCAAGCAGGCGCTCAGACGCAGAGCGTCGCAGTAGACGAGCTCGCGTGGGCCGCGCCGCCTGGCCAGGTTCAGGATGCTGAACGTCGAGACAGAATCGTCGGGCGCCTAGACCCGAGAGGAGAAGGAGGAGGAGGAGGAGGAGGAGGAGGAGGAGGGGGAGGAGGGGGAGGAGGAGGACCAGTTTAAACCCAAGAGTCACATTGAACACTATTTAACATGTCGCCGCACCGTTTGTTCCGACGCGCGGCCTTACGTCTTTGGGAGGGTGCCTCGGCCACCAGGGCGAACTCCGCCTCGGATGCGGGGTTTGCCGTGGGGTTTGCCGCGGTGCTGGCTTCGTCTACCCGGGGCGCGGGACGCAAGGCTTGCCGTTCGTTTGTGGTTGTGTCGGCGTCGTCCACATGGGCGCGTCGAGAACAAACGGCGCGGCGACATGTCATGCGCCTGGTCAGTTCGGGACTCTCAAACAAACTTTCGGAGGTGCGCGCGGATTTCTTGGATCGATGCCGCTCCGCCGCTCCCTCGGACATTCGGGTAGCTGGTGTCGAGAGCCACCGTGTCGGATCTGGGATTCAATACAATGCCGATGATTGGCGTGATTACTGTCCTTCCCAGTCCCCTGCAGCTCTTGTGCGGTATCCCTTTTTTCTTTTTCGCTGCCTCATTCCATGCTCCGCGATGCCTTCTGTGTGGATGTTGGAATGCCGCCGAACGAGCCACGCACACAGCGGCAGGTCGCGCAGTTGGCGGCGTATGAAGAGTGGGGGCTCCAGTGGACTCGGACACATGTTGCCCCCCTGTCTGTATGGGCACAGCAGCTGTAAGCGCACGCCGGTCGTGTTTGTCGAGATGGAGGAGTACGTCAAGCACAAGACGACGACATGCAGTTTCATGCACGCCTGGGTGCTCTCTGTGCCGCCGACGCGCCCTGGGGCGTATAGCTCCTGCCTCTTGCCTCTTGCCCCTGTCTGGAACTCAGGTACGACATCTTGCTGAGCAGCGAGAACGACTTTATCAAGGACGAGGGCTTCGCCGAGAGGCGCCTGCGCTCGGCCTTCGCGGCGTCTTGTGCGCAGTCCAGCCTGCGGCACTCCTTTGTTTCTGGATATGTGTATAGTGCTTGCTTACACATGCATGAATGTATGTATGTATGCATGTAGGTAGGTAGAACGGTAGGTAGGCAGGTCGGTAGGTATGTACGCGTGCATGCATGTATGCATGTATGCATGTATGCATGTATGCATGTATACATGTATGTATGTTTGTTTGTTTGTATGGCATGCACGCATTCATGTATGTATTGATGGTGTGCCATATTATCGTTGTCACGATCGTAGCCGGCCCCATCTCAAGTTTTTGGCTCAGGGTTGAGCCAGGTGTGATGCGCTCCGCCCATCCAGCGTTCGCCGCGATCGCTGGGTTTGCGGGCTCGCTCCTCGGTGGCCTCTCGGGCCGCCCCGCGCCGCTGGAGCCGGCGCCGTGTGTGGTCGCGCACGAGCTGGACCACTGCCCGCAGCCGATCTGCCCGGCGGCGGTCTGCCCCCCGGCCTCCTGCCCGGAGGCGCCTCCGTGCCCGGAGGTCATCGTGCCGGCGTGCCCGGCCTGCACCGCGGCGCACGGCGCCGGCCTCGGGCTCTGGCTGCTCGGGCTTCTGCCCCTTGCGGGCGCGGCGCTGCTCCTGTGGGCGGCCCGCGCGTGTCGCTGGTGGGGCAACGGCCGCTTCGCAGCAGCGGCGGAGGGCGGGGCGAGCCTCGGCGGCCCGCCCATCGGCCGAGTCGCCCTCGGCGCGGCGCCGGCCGTGGCGGGCGTCGCTCCTGTTCGTGGGCTGCCTGCTCTGGGCGCTGGTGGGCCTCCGAGTCCATCGAGACGGTCAGGACTTCAGACGCCCGACGAGAGTGAGGTCTGGCGACCTCGGGGTAGCCGCAAGTGATGGCGGCTCGGCCTCGCGACCTCGCCCTGGACGTCGCCAACCCGCAGGTGGCCATCGACTTCCCGGACGACGACAACTTCACGTGGCACCGCCGCCTGCTCCTCAACAGGGTGGGCGATGGCACGAAGTGGGTCGTCTCGACCCCGGACTACAACGTGGAGGTCCTCGACTTGGCCAACCATCGGGTGGTGCCCCTCGCCCGAGGGTGCGAGGTGCCCGCGCGGGTGCGGGGCGACATCTACATGTTCGGCGACCTCCCCGAGGAGCAGCTGCAGGCCCCCCAGCAGCATGGCGAGGCGCTGGCGGTGCTCATCGGGGGCGTGGCCGCCCCTCCGGGGCGAGGTGTCGCGGTCTGGGTGGTCTCGGACACGGGCGCGGACCAGTTCGGGGAGCCGATCGATGCCGCCGTGTCGGGGAACCCAGCGCGCTTCGTGCAGCGGGGGTCGACGGCCCTGGGGCTCATCGACGACCGCTGGACGGCCTTGGAGCGGGTCGCCCCCGCAGACCTCGAGGACTGGAAGGAGGAGAAGAGGTCGGGCGCGGGTCGCGACCCGCGGGTGATGCCGATCGTCAGGGACGGGCAGGAGCACCGGTACATCGAGTTCCGCGAGGCGATGGCGGCGCTGCAGAAGCGGGTGCCGACTGGTGCGGGTGCCGCTGCGAACGGTTCCTCCGACGCCGACTGGCCCTTCAGGGGCCCGAGCGCGGCGATGGAGCTCATGGCGATGATCCGCTCCACGGGGGAGACGGTCGGCACCTACCACGACTGCTGGGTCCGGGCCTCGGGCATTGGCACCGACGCGGCTGTCGCCCACCACCATGCCTCCCTCCTCAGCATCTTCCACCACACGCTGTGTTTCGACCAGCTGGAGATCTACCGCCTGGCAGGCATGGAGATGCTGGCGCGAAGGGTGATGTGCATCGAGCGTGCTGTTCGGCGCTCGCCCAAGAGCCCCGACTTCCGAGGCCTCGAGATGATGATCGCATCGACCTTGGACTCGGGAACGGCGGCGGCCACAGGCGACTTCGCCAAGTTCATCGCGGAGGAGCAGAAGACGGAGGCCTTCACACTCAAACAACAGCGACTGTTCGCGGAAGAGACGGACAGGCGCAAGAAGGACGGGACGAAGTCGTGACGCGTGGGCCTTCCCACGATCGCGCTCGCTGCCGCCTGGCTCGTCTGGGATGGCGGCACCTCGGCCACGTTCTCTTTTCCCTCTGGATCTGCCAGAACATGCCAATTCATCTAGTGCGGCGTCGCCTGGCGTCGATGGTCTTTTGCTTCCTGACCCTGGGCTTCGTCGACTGCAGGTTTCGGCGGCATCGGCGTTCAACGCCTTGGCGGGTGCTTGGGCCGAGGGCGTGCCCTCGCCAGGGCCGCTCTCCCACGCGACTCCTCGTCGGCCGCTCTCGGGTCCGCAGCGGCTGGCGTGGAGGAGGCTCGCGACCGCCGCAGAAGCCGCCGCGCCGCAGCCTCGACAATCTGATTTGTGCCCGGACGCGGCCCTTTCTGAGATCCTTAAGACGAAAGACCTGTATGAGAGTGACACCGCCCTGGCCGTTGCCCCCTATCAGCCTGAGCTGCTCGCCGTCACAAAGGGCAACGTCCGACCCCAGGACGCCGCGGGGCTCGTGGGCGAGACCGCGCGGGTGTACCTGGACGACCCGCGCCGGATCGTGCTGCCGGCGGAGACCGAGGGGCCGCCCCCCGTGCGGCCCCACTGGGACGAGCGACTGCGGAGGTCGCCCGCCCTTTTGGACGACCTCATTTCGAAGTTCGACTCCGTCGGCCTCATCACGTACCGCCGCCGGGTCGTTTCCCGCGTGGGTATCTTCTTCGTGGCGAAGAAGACGGGGATGCTGCGGATGGTGCTGGACTGTCGGCCGACTAACCAGCTGCATCGCAAGGCCCCCTACACCCGCCTCGCCACGACCGCGGCCATGTCGAGCCTGGTCCTCGACCCTCACTTCGTTGAGGCGAGCCCGACTCACGAGGCCGAGCTCTGGGGGGCGTCGATCGACCTGCAGGGCGGATTCTACCAGTTCCTAGCGCCTACGGTCTCGCACTTCTTCGGGCTTGGCGTGTCTCGCCGTGCTGGCGAGGTCGGCGTTGCCGAGGTCTACGATCCTGAGGTCAACGGCTACACCCCCGTCGACGCGACGGATGAGCTCGAGGTCTGCTTCGGGGGCCTGCCGATGGGGTGGAGCTGGGCGCTCTACTTCTGCCATAGCGCCGTGTCCGAGGCGTGTCGCCGAGCCCGGCTGCGCCTGGGGCTGGGGCCCGTCATCGTCGGGGACCGACAGCCCCCTCCGCCCCTTCGGCCTGGAGTGGCGGTCTGCGCGCCCTACGTCGACAATGCCGACATCCTCGGGTGCGACAAGGACTCAGTCGAGCGGTTGCACGTCGCGGTGGTGGACGAGCTGGTCGGCATGGGCCTGCAGGTCCACGAGCGGGTGGACGCCGCGCAGTCCTTCGAGGCGGTGGGCTTGGTCTTCGACGGCCAGCGGCGCTGGGTCAGGCACAGCCACCAGCGCAGCTGGCGACTCTGGTATGCCCTGGGGGAGGCCATCCACCGCGGGGCGCTCTCGCCCGACCACGTCCGCGGGCTCTTGGGCCATCTGGTGCATCACTTCAGCCTGCGGCGGTGTGCCCTCAGCGTCTTGGGGGCGGCCTACCGCTTCGTGGGCACGGGCGGCGCCGAGATTCTGCCCTTGCCAGCCGACGTGGTCGACGAGCTGCGGATCGCCAGGGACCTCGTCCACTTCGTGCACCTCGACCTGGCCGCTCCGATGCTGGACTGGGCCTACTGCAGCGACGCCTCGACGGAGGGCTACGCGCTGCACGTCTCCGCCGCGGGCCAGCGCCAGCTGTGGGATGTCGCAGTCTGGCGGGAGCGATGGCGGTTCATCGATGAAGACCCGACCGCCATCGCCTCCAGGGAGGAGCTGCGGGGCGGCCTGGCGGTCAGCGCTGGGCCGGCTGGCGACTTCTCTGCCTGGGTCGACGGCGAGCTCGAGCCTTCGCCCGACGAGCGTGCCATCCTCAGGCAGGGCGTCCCTCGGCAGCACCCCGCGGAGCGGCCGCAGGTGGAGCGTGTCGGGCTGGTGCCCCGTGTGCCTGAGGCCTTCGCTGACCCCAGGCGCTGGCACCGCCGCGTCGTGGGGCGCTGGAAGCGGGCGGCCGCCATCCACTGCAAGGAGGCCCGCGCGGCACTGCTGGGACTCACCCGGGAGACGGAGTGCTGCGACGCGCACGGCAAGCACCTGGTCTCCTTCGGCGACAACCTCGCCGAGACGTTGGCCTTCGATCGCGGGCGAGCCCGAGATCGAGAGCTGCTCGGGCTCACGCGCCGCGCGGCCGCGTGCCAGCTCGCCGCCGGCATCATTTGGCATCGGCGCTACGTGGAGACCGCCCGGAACCCTTCCGACGGCGACTCCAGGCTGGCTCATCATGGGTGGCTTCGACCTGGACAGCGGCTCGCGGGCCGCGGGCTGCGGGCGCTGCCCTTGGCCGCCGCCGTGGGCCCGGCATGGGCGCCGACGCCCGCCGCCCCGCCAGAGGACGTCGGGCGGAGCACCCCTCGAGAGCCCTCGAGCGGCGACGAGTCGCCTCGGGCCTCCGCCGCGGAGTCGGAGCCCCCGATGCCGCCGCGGTCCACTCGGCGCCAGCGACGACGGGCGGCGGCGGCCGCGGCCGCCGGCTGCACGGCGCCGCGGCTGGCCGATGGCCTCACCAGCGGGCGCCCAGCCTTCCTGGAGATCTTCTCGGGCTGCGGCCGAGCGACGGCCGCCGTGTCGGAGGCCGGTCTTCGGGTGGCCACGCCAATCGACGTGGCCCATGGCCCGCATCATGATGTGCTGGACCGTCGCGTGGCAAGCGAGGTTCTCAGCTGGCTGTCGAAAGGCCTGGTCTGGTGCGTGCTGCTGGGCACGCCGTGCACGGCCTGGACTCCAGCAAGATCGACTGGGTCGACTACACCGAGTTCATGGCGCTGTGTGCTCTTCACCGTCCGGGTGTTGCAGCTCTGCATCCAGAACGACATCCACGTGCTTCTCGAGAACGCTGCCCGCTCAAGGATCTTCGAGGTCCCTCGGGTGGCGAGGCTGCT